AAAATGATTTAACACATGTCACAAAAGGATTATTTAGTGCAAACTAATGGAAAGTAATTAAGATGTGCTCTTTATTAAAAACACATGTAATTCATTTTTGGGATGAATGTATTATTTAGTCACAAAAGCAAGTAGGTTACACTTTACACCACGTGGCATTAGAGACAATTACAACGCATTAAATTTTGGCATACTCGGATGGGGTTATAAATATAAGGTAGGACAGTGTGTGTATATTTCCAAAATATCTAGAAATGTCTAAAATCGAGATATTTATAAAAATATCTAATTTTTTTTTAAAATTTCAACTAATTCCAAAATCTGTTAACCATGTTTACTATTTTTTATTTTAAAAAAACCTAAACTTAAAATTTATTTGGGAATTTTCAAAAATCGAGATATTTATTTAAGATTTTTGAAAAATTAAGATATTTATATAAAAATTTTATAGTTTATATAAGATTTTTGTAAAAAAATTAGATATTTATATATGATTTTTATTTATTTATTAAAATATCTCAGTAATAATAATCATAAATAACATATTACAAAAAAAAAACTATCAATAGATAGGTAATCATATGTGAAATGGGAGCGCAAAAATGGAAAACCGGGAAGAAAAGAGATGTATTAACAATAATAAGATCATATTCATATACTTCCAAAAAATAAAAAGATATGAGAGAGAAACAAGCACTAAGATAAGGGAGTATTGTAGATGAGAGGGACCAATGCAACGTCCAATGTCCATATCAGACAAAAACCATAAACGTTTTCTAACGTAAGGATCCGTGAAACCTTTTATTCTCTTTTTTTTTTTACATTTTGATTTTATTTTGCATTTTCACTTGCCGGACGCAGAGGCGATGCATGTATATGTATATATGCACGTGCATGGAAGGGCATGCGTCCTTCTCCGCAATCATTAAAGAAGAAGAAGGGTTCAACACTTGTCACTTGGCACCGTTTGTGGTCACATTTTAGAGCTTTGTTCTTTTATTAAAGAACAGTTGTTCTTGCTGACTTTTCATGCATCATAGACAGAGCAAGTGTTCCAAACTGGCATAGAGATGACAACAGAAGCCAGCCAAAAAAAAAAAACATATATGGGGTGGTGGATCATGAATCTTGTAATAAGCTTTACTTAATAGAAAATTTCATAATATAATGCATGCCCATGAAGAAAGCTTGATGACTGAATCAGGTCGGTTTTGGATTCATTACGAAATGAGGTAACACCTGTTTAAGGTTACTACGTTTCTAGCAACTTATGACAAGAGGAGAAGACAAAGCCCTACACCATAACTGTGTAAATAGAAGTGCCATTGTACCTTTTTTGAGTGTTTTAGTTTCTGCTTTAGCCCCCCAGGTGGCAAGCTGCATAAGGAGAGGGAGACGATTTCGAGTGGCTATTTTCGTTTGTCTTCCAATAGCTGATTTCTTCTGGAGAGGATCTCTGCAGCCCAGCTCTTTCCGATTCCTGTCTGAAACTTTCCTGCATCAGACAACGGAGGAGATAAAATCTCATACCATGGAGCTGACGGATTTGTTTTAAGAATGAAGAAGAGAGCAGAGATTCTACCTGCTGTTGATATGAAAAACTCGTCGAGCACTTTCCCGTGTTCTGCCACAAACAGTATTCAGACGTCAAACATTGTTGTGTTGGAGCAACAAAGGTTAAGGAAATGAAAACAAGTTACAAGACATGAAAACTAAAGGCTTACCCATTTCATATTCTAATGCTTGGAGAATCATCTCAACCTAGACGACAATAATAACATAGCAAATGAACCAATAGAAACGGAGCATTTTCTTTTTGCAAACTAAAAAAATAACATGCTTACCTTGTCAAAATCTTTCACAAGATTTGCCTCTAACGAAGCATTGTTTTCATACTCTTGCCAAAGTTCTTTGATCTCTTCAGCTGCAGAGGATCAAATTGCAAACTGTCTTGACTTATGGCTTGTAAAATGAAAAAAAGCCAAAATCTTTGTAGATACCTCTTAGCCCTCCACCCAGAACTTTGCACATCTC